GGTGACTATTTACTTGTGACCACGCTGTGTGTATATATATATATATATATATATAGCTGCGTGAATCACGTGGATGAAATTTAATGTTTATATGACAGGCATGACACATGTATCAGAGCGACTATTAACTTATTGTTGCACCTGTACTGATGTCGCATATAATTTTTTTATGTGTATGGTTCCTGCTCTTTCAGACACGATGCTGCTAACAGGATCACAGTTTTTTTACCACTGCATTATCGACTTCGGCTATGTTACACAAACGTATTAGTTCACTCTCGAGCATCGGATCGGCAATCACTGTGATGGCTTATGTTAAATTCGAATTATAGCCAACACTGCGTGATTGCGAATTTTATAAACACCGCAGATAGAGTAGCTAATTATAAGGAGTGGCAAGAATAGTGCAAGCAGAAGATGGCGATTCTAGGCGAAAATGGGGCAGAAATTTTGCAGCTATATATTTTATTTAGAAAATATTTAGTTTCAGAAAAAGTATTCAGCAGCGACGGCCCACCAGAATTAAGGGTCGTAGAAGTGTCACGATCCAAACTCCATCAGAAATGGAGGCGGGGAAAGGTATATTAATATAATCAATTCTTAATTGTTAATTAACACATTTTCGACCTTTTAGAGTGTGCAGAATATCACTCTAATAGGAAATCTGGCCAGTTGCAGTAAAACCGTGAACGGAGTAACGATAGCCAGCGGAAAGGAGGAAGGATGAAATATAACAACCATAAGAAATAGTTAAAATGTTTTAATTATATGCATATGCTATGATATTATGACACACTGTCTCATATTTGCATTGAATATATATGCATGCATCTATTCAACTTGAAAAATTCATATGGCTATCTATATATATATATACGGTTTTACAACTTAAAAAAACTATAAAGCTTGCATGTACATATAGATACTACCCAACATGTATTGCATGTGCATGCATATATTAAACTCGTGCGGCTACAAAATCCAGTCCATGCAGCATTCCAGTATAGTTCAGTAATCCCCCCCCCCCAATCTAGTGTTTACAAACTCCTCATATAGCTACAGGTTATAAATATAGTAGCTATATATATATTTTAGAAGCATGAAGTATGTTGATCACCATGATTATAGTGATCATATATGCAGTACTACTGTCAGTAATATCAGAAGCAATAGCCATCCATTCTGTATGAAGCCAATCCAAAAGTTGTCATTGCTTCTCGTATTTCATTAAAATAAACTGTTTCCAATATGACTGTATTACTATTATAGATATTTATGCTCACGATGGGAGGAGGTAAAATAGTGATCAACCTTCTCGTGATGTGTATTTGAGGGTTCGTGAGCCGTTATCACGAAAACGTGCTTATTTGGAGTCGTTGGTCATAAGAGTGATGGTCAAATCCCGATCTTTGGTCAGCTCGCGAGCGAGTGAAAGCGTGTGTTGGTTAACTAGCAAGCATAAAGATAAGATTATTAAAAGAATGTGAAAAGTATCGTCAGAGTAACGTACAAATAAAAAACTAATGTCTCTCGCATTACTTAGATATTATTTACGACACTAACTTAGATATTTGTGAAGAAATATAAAAATGCACAAACTAAACTTTAAATTTTTCTTACCTTTACTTTTCTTACGTTGTTTCTTCGTTATTGTAACATCAGGCAAACCTGTAAAAGAAATATTCATACAATTTTATTGCATATTTTTTCCGTAAAACGTGCAACATCTTTATCCTGTACTGTAACTGCATATCTTAATAATTGATAGTTACTCAAAATAATCCTTTTGTTGCCAGTTAACCAACCAACGTGCCCCCCAGTGGCACAGCGGTATGTCTGCGGACTTACAACGCTGGAATACGGGTTTCGATACCCGTGGTGGGCAGAGCACAGATAGCCCATTGTGTAGCTTTGTGCTTAATTACAAAACAAACAAAACAAACCAACCAACGCATAGACGTATTGGGTTTCGAGAAGCTGAACTGTAACTTAGTCCCCTTGGAAAGTAAAGTAGTAGCTTAAAGTTGTGCATATTTTACCAAAACAGACAGTGTAATTACAGGAAGAAAAAACTTTGTAACGTATACACACTTTACTCCAGTGCAACTTAAATCCTATATGCTAACTTACTTATAACTTTAAAAACCTACGTCCTAATTTAACTTTGAACTAATCATTTAAGTCCTGATTCATAAGTTTTTACAAACCTATTATAACCCATGTTCTAACTCTTTATTGGAATATGTGAACATTTACATCGTGACTCCTTGTACTCTGTAAACATATTTTTCCTCTCTTACAACTTTTTTATAGATATCCTGCTTTAACTGTAATTTTAAACATTCACATCCTGACTAACTTGCAACTTATATTTACGACACAACTTGCATTTAACCTGTAAACACCTACGTTCTGACTCACTTGTGGTCGGTAACATTCGATGTCTAGAGTAATATTCTGTTGGCACGGTCCGGTCTAAATCGTACGTTTTCTTATCCGTCATACCTCGACTGTTCTTTCGCTGAGTTTTTGGCCACCACACTTCTTCCAGGTCAAAATCAAAACCTGAAATGTGGATCGTAAGAAAATAATGACTAAAATGGCCATTTCATATCTTTTGTCTGCGTTCTCCGTTACGATTTCTGAAATTATTTTATCTCTAATTATTTCATATTGTTTATCTATATTCTTATAAAGAACCATTGGATTTTTTTAGGATTTCTAAACACTTTAAAACATTTTATTCGTGATGCGTTATTCGATCCTTTTAGAGGTAATATCGCACAGGTAAAACAAAACCAAGTTTGCTCATTTATTTAATACTTTTCTGTGCTATAATTTTTAAGATGCTTCTTTCAGTGGATGATCCAAGACGTGTTGTTTCCGCTGTGAAAAACTTGCTTCCATATATTTTTCCTGCTTAAACGTATCTCATATCTCACTTACCTTTACAACTGATTAAATAAAATTTTTAAACCTTGATGAGTTTCACTTCATACCATTCAGCTTCCGTTTGGGAACCCTTTTTCCGTAAAGTAATATTTACATTTGCTCATCCGTTATCCATCACCATACGCTTGTTTGTTTGTTTTGAATTTTCGCGCAAAGCTACACGAGGGCTATCTGCGCTAGCCGTCCCTAATTTAGCAGTGTAAGACTAGAGGGAAGGCAGCTAGTCATCACCACCCACCGCCAACTCTTGGGCTACTCTTTTACCAACGAATAGTGGGACTGACCGTCAAATTACAACGTCCCCACGGCTGAAAGGGCGAGCATGTTTGGTGTGACGGGGATTCGAACCCCCGACCCTCAGAGTGCGAGTCGAGCGCCCTAACCACCTGGCCATGCCGGGCCTCGCCACTACGCTCTGAGGTTTCAACCTCATGGCCGAAGAGAGGCGATAACCCTCTGCTGGCTCGCCGGCCTTATTCGGCTGGAATTAAATGAGAGAGAGAAAAAAAGTAATAAGTGGTTGTGTTAAAGAGTGATGTTAAAACCAAACTACTCGACTAGAGTAACCCAAAAATGGGCGGTGGGTGCTGTTAACTAGCTATCTTCCCTCTGGTCTATCAGTTCAAAATTAGGGACGGCTAGCGTAGATAGCCCTTATGAACTTTTACGCAAATACCCCCAAAAAAAACAAAAAGATAAAAGTGAAAACTATATGCGCTATTATAGATTAACTATTATAGATTTATTAGTGTCTACATGCTCTAATTTCTTATCCCAGTTTATCTTTAGGGTTGTTCTATTACTCGAACGATCGTATCCTTTTCGAGTTATTTTGAAAACAGTAGATGAACAAAAATGTCTTAAACATCTCTATTTTTCTAATGCAAAATTTCCTAGCTTGAAAATAAAGTCACGAAATATTTTACATACAGCTCCTTTCACTATTCACATACCAGTTATTAGCCTGAATATGTGTCTATATGTAAGGTAGTTTTATTTGCAAGAAAACTGGGAATAATTTAGTTCACCAATATCAATGTACTTACCATTTGGGATGGACCTTCGTCGTGGTGGGAATTGGCGAGTTTCTGTGTGCGGCAACTCCATAGCTGTTAAATTATATGATGAATGTTTATTATTGGTTGCATATATAAAGAAAAGAAAAAATATATAAACATATATATGGCATTATTATTAATTTCAGTTATCGTATTTTAAATACCATTTTTGCCTTTATTGGTGTTTATATAACTCTATTTAAAACTAATTCTATCTATTTGCGCATTTATTTAATACTATTGTGTTATAATTTTTAAACTGTTGTAATTTATTTTCTATGTTTTCAAATCTTAACTCAAAAGTAACCTTATATTTTTTACTTTTTGAAATAAATCTTTGTAGGCATTGTTAAGCACAAAACTAAGCAATGGGCTATTTCTGCTTTGCCTTATGCAGGTACTGAAACCCGAATTTTAGCGTTATAAGCCCTCAGACTTACTGCTAAGCCGCCTGAGGGTGCTGAAATGAATGACATCTATTTATGTTCTTTGCCTTCTCGCATATGATATTAATGTGAATTTTACACGCTTTTGTCAGGGACTTGATTATCTTGTTTTTTCTTTGCAATAAAGATATTTTTTCTTTCCTTTTAGTGATTACATTAATTTTTAGTTCTAAAATAAGTACACATTTATACGATTATTTTTACACAAAAACGAATGGATACATAATTGTTGTTTGAATCAAGTAAAAAATCAGCATTAAATACATTTTGAGCTTAGTGGTATCTCTTTTGTGTATTTTGATGTTGCCAAGCAACTTAAGTCAATATATCTGTGGTCGTTATATCGTCCCTTGCAAAAGGCTTTAGTGATTTGAAAAGTCAGTTTCAGGTTGTGTTAACGATTCAATAGGTTTTTAATTGTTGAATGTATTAAAGTAAAAGATATCTTATAACTTACCTTCTGAATAATCTTTGGTCATGTTGACATAATTTATAAAGCTCCAGGATGACGAAACAACATGCGCTTGTTAGAATGAAAACATGTATCATTTCCAAACAAGAGTATTCTCAGTTGTCATTTCTTTCTCTAGGGGGCGCTCACTTTAGAGAACTTTGTTTTTTCGATTTCTTTCACAGAGAACACAAACTCACTAATTATTAACTCTTTTGCCTTATCTTGGAACCTCTCGGAAAGCAGATATATTTTATCATTTACATACCATAATAGAGAATAAATAAAACAAGTAACTTATCATACTGACGACTGAAGTAATTATAAGATATATATATATATATATATGTACGAGAATCACTTGTTTTACACCAAATATCTAATTCTCAATTGCAACTTATTCAATAAGAAAGTA